TACGACGTGGCCAAGGAACTTTCGTTTACCCTAGGCGAACCGACACTTTGTAGTCTTGAGTGACAGGTCGGCGGTCTTGATATCTTGAAGCACGACTCCCAGTCGCTTCAGGTGTTCGTCAAAATCCCGTGAAAATACTGCAACATCGTCGAGGTAGACAAGGCAGTTCTGCCATTTCAGACCTGACAGCATGGTGTCCATGACACGCTGAAAGATGGCTGGTGCTGTACAGAGTCCGAACGACATCCCTTTGAAATCGTACAGACCGTCGGGAGTGACGAAAGCAGTTTTCTCGCGATCGCGTTCGTCGACCTCAATCTACCAGAAACCATCCTTCAAGTTCATCGACAAAAAATATCGGACGTGGCGCAGCCGGTCTAATGTATAGTTTATGCGGGGGAGCGGATAGACGTCCTTCTTAGAGCGTTCTGTCGACGATAGTCCATCCAGGACCTCCAGGGTTCCGCCCTTCCTCTTTACAAGGACGGCTGGGGACGCCCTCGGTCATTTTGATGGTTGAATGATGTCGTCGTCAAGCATTTCCTCGATGTGACCTTGAATCACTACCCTTGCCTTCAAGGGGACTCGGTATGACGACTGATTTGCTATCGTTGTTTGTCGCACCCTTTATATTGTGGCGAAACACTTGCCAAATTCGCTAAGTGTCAAGCTCTGAGGACGGCGTTCTCTCGTGCTGCGATGAAGTCGGCTCCTCCGAAAGTGCAGCGACTGCGACTTAATTCTGGAGTTCGTAGATATGGCCCACGCCGACACCTTTTGTAAGGTGTTGCGGCTCTTGCCAGATATTTGTAACCAGGACCATGGCGCGCCCTTCTCGAAATTCTATTACTCCTCCTGCGAAGCTGATTCCTCATTCTAGAGGCCACTGGAGGCTTCCCACCCGGAGAATTTTGCCGCAAGAAGCTCCATCGGTCCCGACAGGTACGAAAACACTAAACTGCAGTGGTAAGTTCACGTGGCTTGCGAGGACTCCGACCGCGGATGACGTCACTTTGTGTTCCTCCATTGGTGGGACAGGATTATGTAGCGTCAGCTGGTTTACTCCGCGATTGATTACATAATACGTAGTCGCATATAAAGTGCTTTCCGATGATAATGTACCATGTACAGTCTTGCAGAGTAACAAATTTCATGGAGTAGGTCTCACCATGGACATTCTATGCCGATTGTTCTAAAAGCCCTATTTCCTTTCTCTATTTATTTTTCTATTTTCCTATTCTGTTTTGGGCACAAGTTCGCCCCATGAAACGTTTAGTTTCATTCAGTCATACCCCGCACCTCAACAAAAAATTTTACCAAGTACAATTGATGAGGGGACGAATGACTGAAGAAAAATAAATGTTTAATGGGGATTACTTGTTTCTAAAAACAAAATAGAAAAAGGCTAGCGTCGCAGGCGTCGATGGCGGCGTAACAGCAGGATCGAGCGCTGGGGCAAAACTGAGTGCGGCTTGCCATGCTGTGCACCTTATGTTCAGGCGTTGTATGGCAAAAAAAAGAAAAAAAAAGAAAAAAAAGGACTATCCCCGGAAAAACTGATTAAGCAAAATGTACGACGCGAGAGTTGTTTTGACATCATCACGAACCAGCGCAAGTAGACAGTTATTCAAAATCCAAACACACAAAAAAATGCACTCACGCAGCGCTGAACTATCAACTGAATTGTATTTCAAACTTCCTCTTCTTCGACCCCAAAGAATAGGTTGCCAAAGAAGAAAAGGGGAAAGACAAGGCAAATGGGGGAAGGCAAAAGAAAAAGAAAAGGAAAACAGATGAATAGAATACAAAGAAAAGGAAAATAAAGGAGACTAATACTAATGCACCAGAGTCCAAGAGATACAAAAATTACAAGAAATAATTACAAAATTAATCACGAACAGGTATAAACCAGGTGATATGCTGGCCAACTGTCGACTACACTCTCGGCGTAAATAGTTTGAGTGATGCAAAAAGTCCAAGAGTTACAGAAATTAGTTGTTAAATAATATAAGATGTAAACAAAAATCAGTAGTTATACTGGCTTACTGTCTTAAACACCCTCTGTCTAAATAATGTAGTTCTTTCTCCGATAAAGCTAAGGACGGAGTGCTAACGCACTGGGCTTCTCGTTTTGCAATGTTCTCCGCTTCTATAATTTTTCGGGTGAGCTGGTTTTTACTCCTGCTTAACACAGCACAGTTGTCCAGTCGCGCAAAACAGCCACAATCCCTACAGTGGATACCTAGGTGACCGGAGTTGGCATTGGCAATGCTGTTGTTGTGCTCTCGCAGGCGGTCGTTTAAACACCGCCCCGTCTGTCCAATGTACTCTTTTCCACAGGAAAGGGGAAACGAATAGACTACCCCTTCAACACATGGGACAAAGTTGGATCTGTGTTTCTTTGCGCAGCTGACGGTGCTGATTGAGGTGTTTACTTTTTTGCAGAGGCTCTGAAGTTTGTGTGGTGCTGAAAACGCTACATTCACATTTACTCTGTTCGCTATTTTCTTTAGACCATGAGATAGATTATGCATATATGGCACGACTACCGGTCTGGTTGTCCTGTCTCTGGGTAATTTTGCGGCGCTACTGAGCTTGATTTCTCTGAGGAGAACCTCGGTTACCGACGTCAATATTTGTAGAGGATATCCAGCGGACCTTAGCCTTGATACTTGAGCTTCGAAGCTCGCCTGCATTGAATGTAAGCATGACTTGCTAAGAGAGTTCTTAAGGCATGACCTCACTATACCTCTTTTTACAAGCTTGGAATGTGCAGATTTGAATGGTAGAAGAGGATTCTTTCCCCTGGGCTCATGGGACCAACAGATGTGATATGGTAGCACATACAGTCGAAGATCCAGGAATGGCCGACTCGTATCACCTCTGACCGCCAGCATTAACAAAGCACTTACTCTGTCTCGAAACGCTGGGGGACACATGTAGAATGAATTGGAGGCGCAAATATTGTGTAAATATTCATGGTCAACCGCCAGAGATACCGCTAAAGCGATCTCAGCAGGGCGCTAGACGGCGAGAAAAAACGCATTTACGGGCGCTTCCATATTAGAGCGCAGCTCTTAGGGGCCCGTTTGCGGCTTGAGCGGCGTCGCCGTCGGCGTAACCGCGCAGTGCATCATGGGAAATGTCCCATAATGCACCGCGCGAGCCCCCCACCGGGGTCACGTGACCTCGTGGGGGGGGGGGCACGTGACCCCTCCGAGGTCACGTGACCCCCCGAATTCACGTGACTCCCCCGAGGTCACGTGACCCCCTCCTCGAGGTCACGTGACCCCCGCCGATGTCGCGTGACCCCCGATGACGTCATCGTCACTGATGACGTCACCGGCATCTACATCGTCATCGTCATCATCACTGATGACGTCACCGGCATCCACATCGTCATCGTCATCATCACTGATGACGTCACCGGCATCCACATCGTCATCGTCATCATCACTGATGACGCCACCGGCATCCACATCGTCATCGTCATCATCACTGATGACGTCACCGGCATCCGCATCGTCATCATCACTGATGACGTTACCGACATCCCCATCGTCATCGTCATCATCACTGATGACGTCATCAGTAACGTCACTGATGTCGTCACCGGCATCCGCATCGTCATCGTCATCATCACTGATGACGTCATCAGCGACGTCACTGATGACGTCACCGACATTCGCATCGTCATCGTCATCATCACTGGTGAAGTCATCAGTGACGTCACTAATGACGTCATCGGTACCCGCATCGTCATCGTCACTGATGACGTCATCAGTGACGTCAGTGATGACATCATCGGCATTGGGGGTCACGTGACCCCCAAGGTCACGTGACCCCCCCTCTGGTTAGTTTAACCACCCCAGTGCCCTTCCCTCCTCCTCAAAAGCTGCGCTTTAATTCGGCGTTACAGGGAGTTGTAAGCGGCTTTCACTTTTTTTTTGTTTATGTCGCTGGCAAGTTGGCTTCCGTATTTGTTCCTTGCGTTTCTTTATTTTTCTTAAACTTTGTCTCGGGCAATTAGACTCTCATTGTAACTTTTTTTCTTCCTGATAAACATTTAAATATCAGTTTTTATACGATAAAATACCCATTTACGCAGCGGCGTTTAAGTACGCGTGCGCGCGACATATAACTTTTTATGTCACTTCCGCGGCTTAGTTCTGAGTAGATGGTCACCCGCTAGCTTCGCGCTTGTGAATTTTCGCAGAACTAGTCGATCCTTAGTCGCTGATCTTTTCTCTCAGTTCGCTACTACTTAGTCGCGATACTAATTTTAAAAGAGCGCTAATTAGTCACGACTGATGAATACGGCTGATGGACTGAACTCGTACAGGGGCACATGTCCTCCCTTTTCTTAAACCCGTGGCTAAACTTTCGGTGATAGGAAAATATGGGAACCAAATGTGTACCAAAATGTATTGATAAACACACAAATATTTCTGGTATTGGTGGATTATTCATACTTACGTCCTTAAAGTTTTCCGCGTATGTAGAAAGTCCCAGAACCGAACGCCGCCGGAAGTGACGCGGTTTTTGACAAGTGTTGTGCTAGTCCAAGGCGTACCGGTCAAACTACGTGGTGAAGTTTTTACTCCGCAATCACAACCCAGCCTGATAAATATATTTCATCTGTTGTAGTGACAAATTTGGCTTTGAGCCGCTCGCAAAATAATACTATTTTTGTAATGGGGTGGCGGCGTTACGTTTGAGGGGCACTGCACAATAGCGACGTTTCTTCCTGGTAATAAAATAATTTCTTAATATGCTTTCTCTAAACTCCTTTTAAATGTGCTACTTAATTGATTTCAGAACTCAGGTCACGACTTCGCAAAAGGGGCGTTGTTGTTTTTTTGTGTTTTTATGAAAGCATTATTTAAAATTTATGAGATGGCTCATAAGCGTCCTAATTGATACGCACAAAAAAAAAATCTCCTCTGACTTGCTAGCCCCCTAAAGGTGCGTTCTGGTTTAATCTTTATTTTGCGTTCCAGAACGGCCTAAAGAAGAAGTTGTATAAATTAATAAAGTATAGTGGCACCTCCTATCTCGAAGCCAGTGCTACACTTTCCAACCTTAAAAAGGAGGTACAAGGGACATCATACGGATCATATGATGCTGTCATTCTGTCAACAGAGTAAGTGGGTTCGTCAGTATCTTTTAATTTGATTGAAGGTTTACGAGTTTGCCATACAATTGTTCATCGCAAATGCATTTTGCTCCGTTTCAAAATGGTCAGTCAAATTTTCAGTTTCATGTTCAAATTCACGTTCCTTACGATGTTCAGGGTAAGCTGTTTCTTAAAGCTGCCTAAAAAGACCAAAGAAACGCTCGAACTCTATATCATTAGAACGAAGCAAGGTATCGCAACTTAAGAAAAAAAAATTATATATATATATATATATATATATATATATATATATATATATATATATATATACAGGTTTTTGTTTATTCTTTCAGATTTGTTTAAAAAAAGCCGTGAAAGCTACACTTATGCGGTTTGTGCAGGTGGGTTATACGGCCAGGCGGACATTATGTGGGTGGCTAATCTTTCCGATAAGTCGGATAAGTAATTAAAATTCGTTAATAAACTTTCTAATTAGTGAAAAAAGCCATATAGTTCCAATTAGAATCTTGTAGAGCATCATGAAAACCACTAAATCAACTGCTTTTAGAAGGATATAACGCCGGGGCTGCACTTTACGGCGTTCTGTAAAAACGCCCCATTTGGACGCGTTTTTAGATTTCGGTTTCTTATCGGAGCGCATGTTTGCGCCCGCTCAAATCTTTCTGATACTGATAAATAATTATCACTAACGAACATGAATATCAAACGACGCTTTCCTTCCGCTAGGCGACGGTAGATAGGCGCGAAAACTGTATAGGGAGAACGTATTACATGTTTCTTCCATATTTATGTTACGTAAAAAGAACTCATCGAGGAAAGCTATTTTTGGACAACAGCATCATAAGTTGATCACAATGCCTTTGTAAATAGTCTTAGCTTTATTCCGCCTGAGGTTTCCCCTGAGGCGCGTTTAGTGTTGTCATTTATTCTTTGAATGGCACGAACGTTCTTTCCATCGTTGACTTATTTTATTTAGGTATATTTCGACTTGGATGTGAATTACAGCTGCAGCTTCCTTCTGGTGTACGAAAATAGTATTTCCTTTCTTGTTCCATACAAACGTGTCTGACGTTTGTTTAGAGCAGTTCTCAGTGTTTCACAGGGGGATCATAGTTCTCCGTGTTAAATTCTCGTTATTGCACAGCTTTTCATCTCTGGGCCACTTGCTTCTGAGTGCAGATATCTCCTCATCGTTGTTCTGTGAACAACACCAACAATGTAGTTGCTTTGGCTTCCTTTAACCTTGGTTAAAGGAAGCCAAACGAAGGTTTGGCTTTCTTTACGAAGGTATTGAATTTGTGCATTTCGTTCTTCTCGTCTTTTTAAAACCGAGAGCCCTTACTCGTAAAACTGCAGCGTGAGAAGAGAAATGGTACAAAGTGGGCAGTAAACCACGCTCCCAACTGATTACAAGATGTTTGATTGCGGGAAAAGAATGCTTGGAAGCTCATTCAGCGGCAATCACCAAAGAAACGCTCGACATTTTCTGTTTAAGACTATCCTGTGCGACCTGAACATATGTACCATTTTGTAACGTCACACCACAGGAGAGCACGGAAATTTCAATGTAGGTTTCTGCATCATTTTTATTTACGTTTTTTTTAATAGTTATGTGGAATTTCAAGACAATAAATGCATACCGTGAAGAATAAAGTCATGGTTTTTATGAAAAGCAATTTTTTGGGTAGCTCACAAACGATTTTCGCCTTTAAGTCGCGTCTCCGCCTTAAAACAACTAATATTGATCTCACTTCATTAGCCTCCAGACGCAGGTAAAACTAACCGCATGTGTTTATTTCATAAAATGCTGTAGGGTACATCACACTTCAGAAATTCTTACTGTCATACTTCCCATTATATCTACTTCAGAACAGATAACTGGTGCAAGCTTAAGGAAACCATATCTCATAACAATTCCTTCCTATTTTTGCCTGTATTACTGTGTATTTCGTAATGCAGTAATGGTCCCGATAAAATCGTAATCAACATAAATCCTTTAGATTTTAAGAAATTGTGCGAACTTATGTATTTTGAAAGGCTTCAGAATCCCTTTGTAGTCTTCTTTATTGATATTTTTTTATGTCCATTTGAGAACTAAATATTGTATATTCTCTGTCCGCATGAGGTTTTTTTTTTGTTCCGCATTGACCGGTGATATTATGTTCATATGTTAATTTTTATTGTGTCTTGTACTTTTGCCCACCCCCTCATTTAATGTGCTCCCAAAAGACGCCTTTGAGGTAAATAATTTAAATTAAGCGTGCCCTGTGTATTCCGCAATCCTCTAGTCGCCGAGTTTTGACCTACCGGGTACGGGTAAAGGGGCATGTTTGTAATTGGATCAAGAGTTTTTAAACAAAATGTGTTTATTCTTATGATTTCTCAAAAAAGCTCAAATAAGGTGTAATGCAAAAGTGTAGCACGTAATTTTTCTGCTAAACGTATCGGGAAAATGTGTTGTTGTTTATAATTATACACTAATTTCATTTCCCCGCTAAAGTTATCGACGATATGCTTCCTGCTGAGTTGTTAAATCTTCAAACTTCCTACTTCAAAATTTCTTTATATTCCGCCTTTCATTGTGTACACCTCAGTGTTATGAAAACTATCAAACACCTTAAAATTTTTCTATCTCCACATTTTGAGTCAAGTAGTGTTAACAGATCTGCAATTACGTACAAAATAATCATGCGGTTTAAAAATAAACTATATCTTTCATAGTTTTATCTTGACAATCGCGTAAGCAGGATACAGTACACGAGTATAGTGTAGTTGAATAACATATTACTAATGTTTAATTCCTCGTACAGCAAAAAGTTGGTGACTATTGAGAATGGAATCCTGGACCCGGCACTAAATGGTAAGAAACTTTTTTGTTATAAAATATAACCCTCATGTTTCAGGGTTGTCCTCCATATATTCGCTAAATAAAAAATTGGCAAAAATGTGGGTATAGTAAAAACAAAACACATGGAAGCTAAGAGGTAAAAGAAAGGGTCATCGAAAAAAAAAGAGATAAATCTATTGGTGAAATAGAATATGGTAACACGTCATTTCTGCGGCGCGAATCGATATAGCAAAACCCTTCTTTCCGACTAAGTACATTTACTAGGTTTGCGACACCTAGAACTTTACTGCATAAGTAGTAGTATCGATGGCCAAATCAGAATAAATAGCAGTTTGTGTGGGCTAAATTTCAAATGTATGAGGCCTATAAATGTCTACTTTTATGCCTTCTCCCTTACCAAGAGCAGCGGTACCCACAAGCCAAATGATTTCTACTGGAACGTATTTCTATTCTAAACTAATGCTTCCTCTTAGGTTTCTGGTATATCTGTGATAAGTATTCCGATAATCCACCCTACAACATTGCAGAGGTTCAAGACTCGCTCACAATATTTTGGTGACAAATGAGTTATTTCTTGCTTTGCACAGTCTCCCCATATGGTGTACTTTTCAGATGTCTTCGGGCTAGAATATGTTTTTTCTCTTTTTTGTTTCTTAAACAAAACGCTTGGCAAGAGACCTTATTTTTTTACCTGAAGCATTGCATAAATCTTGCCATTAATATTTCACCCCGAACATTTCGTAATATTCAACAATTGTGTAAATGATATATAAATTAAAAATGCATGACTAATAACCAACGCAGCTCAACAACACTTTTAGAAAAAACAAGCATACAAATGCCTTCTTTCAGGGGAGGAGTCACACCCTTTTTTAAATATTCTATTTTCTATCACGTGAGGTTTGGTTCCAACCAGGAAGCAGTGATAACCATGGCCTTCAAGGTGTCCTGCTATCATATATTGTTCAGCAAAGAGTTGACATTTCACGATTTGTTTTACTTCTGAATTCGCTAAAGACGTCCCTACAACGCAACCTCAATAATACAATAATAATTGAGTCATGAGAAAAGGTATAATAGCGGGTAAGCTCATTTCAAATCGTGCGAGAAAAAAAAGGCATGATTAAACAAATATAAGAGAAAATAGATTTGCTGGCAGAAATTGAAAGCAGCGCCCTTGGTGCACGTTTTAATATATTGTTTTGTTACGAAAGAACCAAAGGCGGATTTTGAGATTTCACCGACGGTCATAAGTCACGCAGTGCTTCGCGAGACTCAGATATTTTTCACTCGACAGGAAAATTTGTACATGGTTTTTACAACTACTATAGAAGTGCCAAGTAAACATAAAAAATTGGCATCTGTTTCTTTTTTTTAATAGTTGTGTTATGTAATAATTCAGAACCTAGCCGCTCTGATGATAACTGACCTGCCTTGAATTATGACAACTTTTGTTACTTCAATGCCATGACAAAGTATACAATGTTTTTAAGCTTTACAGAGAGTTTTATTTAAAGCCGTGTATTGCATAGGAATGCGGTTTGTGCAAATGAGTTATACGGCCAGGAGACACAATATAGGATGCAAGTCATCATTGTAACTAGAATAGTTACCTAACATTTTTGATACATTTCTAATTAGTGAAAATATGTATATGGTTTCAATTTTAACCTTTGTGAGTGCCATTGAAACTCTATCAGTAGGGCGTGAGAAGCGCGGAAGTACGCAAAAGTTACCACTTAAGCAAATGGCACAATTCTGGGGATCGAAAACGTGCCCGCGAGGTTTCTCCGCATTTTATCATACGCGTTTTTGCACCCCTAGGGCCCTACACTCGTTAGACACAAAGTTGGAGCCGAATGCTCGTGGAACGAACCGATTGGCAGCAGGCGAAAAAAACGCGAAATCATCGTCGGAATAGTGGAATCGGCGCGCTGCGTTAACGACGGCCCCAACTTTGTGTTTGACGAGTTTAGAGCACCTACCCTAGCAAAAATAACGGTTTGAAATCAGTCCGGAAAGTGAAATCCGGACTAAGATCAAACCAGAGTCACACCGGAGAGGCGAATTCCGATTCGCACATACCGTGATTTTCCTAATCCGGTTCGAACTCCAATTGGAGGAATTCCGGACAGGCAAATTCCGGTTCGCTCTAACCGTGAATTTCCAAATCCAGTTCAAAGTCAAATTGGAGGAATTCCGGAGAGGTGAATTCCGGTTCGCTCATACCGTGATTTTCCTAATCCGGTTCAAAGTCCAATTGGAGGAATTCCGGACAGGCAAATTCCGGTTCGCTCTAACCGTGAATTTCCTAATCCGGTTCAAAGTCCAATTGGAGGAATTCCGGACAGGCAAATTCCGGTTCGCTCTAACCGTGAATTTCCTAATCCGGTTCAAAGTCAAATTGGAGGAATTCCGGACAGACAGATTCCAGTTCGCACAAACCGTGATTTTCCCAATCCGCTTCAAAGTCAAATTGGAGGCATTCCAGACAGTCAAATTCCGGTTCACACAAACCGTGATTTTCCTAATTGGTTCGAACAAACCGTGATTTTTGGAGTCCGGTTCAAAGTACAATTGAAGGAATTCCAGACACAAATATGCGGTTCGAACAAACCATTCCTTGTCAAATTCGGTTAAAAAACAAATTGGACAAAGTCTAGACTGAAAATATCCGCTTTGCACAAACCATACTTTGCCATATCTTGTTCCAAAGAAAATCGGATCAGCCGCCTGATGCCGAAGACTTTCAAGCGTATGGTTGAAATATCAAGTTGCAAACAATCCATCCCGATACCGTACGTACGGGCTGCTGCGTCGATCAAAGCTCAGACCGCAGAAGACAGCCAGCTGATATGCGGCGCCAAAAAGGCGACATCACGGCGATTTTTGTGCAAGTCATCGCCATCTGATTCCTTCTAGCATTTTTATGCACTCTGCAATACTTGTTCATTATTATGCTCAAACTACGTTTTGTTATTTTTTAATTATTTTTAAATAATTGCTTGATAACTGTCAAATAACCTTTTTTATATACTTTTCTCCACATAAAACAAACAAAAACAAGAACTAATTCAATGCCACAGCTAGATGTACACACAATCGGAAAGTGTCATTTCAGTATCTTTGACAGCTTTCCTGCGGTCTCCTTGTTTATGCCTGCATGCTGAACATTATATTATGGTGTACTTACAGGCAATTTCACGGGCTTTTATCACTATAGGTACGCAAAGCAGGGATTTAAACCGTAACCGAAACCGAAAACCATTTAGGAACGAACATTTTCAGTAACCGTAACAGGAAGAAAATTGTTATTTGAAATTAAAAAAAAACAAAAAACGTAACCGTAAGCGTAACCGTAAAGTATTTACCGGTAACTAGTTTTAACCAATAGCAGCCGAAAAAAAAAATTTCTCAGGTATGGTTTGGAGGGCGGATCTTGAAATATTGTGGCAATTTGACAGAGTTACCTTCAGCGAGTGGTGCATCTGGTAATACAATTTCCGTTCAATCTAACGTTAGGATTAAGGATACTTGGTTGGAATCAGTAGTCGTGCTTATAATAAAAAAAGTCTGTTTCTAAATCTATCACACTCCTACATCGCTACATGTGTCAGTACGTGTCGCCTTCAGTGTAATAACTAAGAAGTTAGAATTCTCAGATGTCCATCCAATTCGGTTCTATCAAAACCACCAATGTTCCTGACATGCAGTAGCCAGTATGAAGAAACGAGGTAAATTGACTGTCATGCAGAGCTGGCGGAAAAGAAAACCTGGTATTCATTTAGTCTTTTAGATTTTGAGACAACACAGAAAGAAAAAACAATGTGACCGGTTTGACATTGGCGTTAAGTGTATGTTTCATATTAACCGTGATCCAGAATTTATCTGAACAGAAAACAATCACAAAAATTAAAATTATTTTGTGAAGTGAAAGCTAATATATCCTTTGATGGCCAGTATTTACATGGAAGTTCAGTGACTGGCCGGCATCGGCGCTTTGGTGTTCAAGCTGGCGAGCCCCGTCATGGAAGATCCGTTTAATGACCGGCATCGTTTTATTTTTTTCGCCTTTTTCACTATGAAGTCAAGTCATTGAGATTCTGACAAACTGTGGCAATTCATGGATAGCGAGTGGAAATGTTTGCGTTGATCAATCCTTCCTAAATGACTGCCGACGCTAGGGTATTTTATCCCAGCATGGCAAGGCTGACGTGTTTTAACGCGAAAACGCAAGAAAAAACAGTACGGTGAAGAAAATTAGCTGCAGAGGATTTGAGAATATGACCGCCGACTCCACGAAAAATAAATTTTACAACGCCGAACATTACTTTTTTCAAGAAGCTAGTTTAATTTGATGTACTATACTTAAGGTCCGGTGGTATACGCAGGTGTTTGGCCCTGATAAAAAATAAAAACGGTATAACGGAGCCTAAAAATGAAGAAAAAAAAAAGTGGCATGATTGAGCACGCGCTTTGAGTTACAAAAACAATAATAAACATTACTTTCCAGAGACTAGAAAAATAAGAGATGTGTTTATTGCTTATGACGCTACGAAATTGAGTGCGAAAATATGCTATTTCAGACAGGAATCAACTGCTTTCTGTGGTAGTTACGATTATCTAACAGAAATATTTCGAATGTTTCCATAGCCAAACGATATCTGTCGCTTTGATAACTTATGTTATACGACATACCGTTCCAGAGGAACGCGAATAAAAAAACTTTTTTTTTTTTAACGCAAAAAAGCGAGAAACACCACTGCATTGTGGATGTTCACACTGCCGGGTTTGTGAATGTGACCCCTTGACGCTACGAAAAATAATTGTTACAACGTTGAACGATGCCATTTCTGAAAGCTAGTTTAATTATCCGTGCTGCACTTGAATCTCAGGAATAAAAACTTGTCTAGGCCTAATAAAAAAAGTAAAACTGCGGAGCGCAACCTGTATAAATAAAACCTGGCGGCACGCGGGGGATAGCACTGATCTACGAGAACAAATTAGATACT